AAAGGTAGATTGAGGGAGGAAAAATTAGGTATGAGGTGAATTTTTTGCTTCAGACATTTTCGATGGGAGAAACTGAGGAACAAGTTTTTTGGGGGGCTGTGCGTAGAACCTTCACATGTATTCAATAAATTGAGGTGCAAGGCATTACATAAGCAATAAAATGAGAGAAAACATGTATTTGAGATTTTTTCTCTCTCTCAAGGAGGTGTTGTGATTAGGTGAAGAGAAATTGGCACACAGTGGTTGAGGTCTGGTTTTGAGTCTCTCACTGAGCATTTGCACTTTGAAGGCAAGTATCTCGCTGAAGTTGTAATATTTGATAAATCACGAAGACCTTCCATGAAGGGGTTTCATCAGAATTTGTCTGACGGGGTGTGTGGTGTTCCCAACAGGCAGCCTGGCCCCTGAGAGATCACATCAAGTGGGTATGGTCAGGGGATTTGAAAGGCTTATTTAATTGATTTTAGGTGTGCGAGGTGGTGGAATGATAAAATCTTGTATCCGAAGTCCTGTGTTTGCATAGTTGCTTTCAGCTACTGTATACAAGTTCTCTGGGTAAACTGAGTTAACTGTGCTCTACGAGATTTCAAAGATTACAAATGCAAGATTTTTTTGTTTTTTGTTATTTTTATTTCCAAACTACTTGTACAATATTCACATATAAATAGTTCAGTAGGATCTGCAAATCTGCATACAATCCATATCTTTTTGCAATAAATTTTCCTTTCAAAGTGACTTAAAATAAATATACAATTAGAATTCATGATACATGGAATGTTTCAGCAAGCATTCTTCTTTAAATTTTAATACTACATTTTCTTCTATACTGTATTTACAAATATCTTTAGTTGAATAATTTGTGTTATTAGTAATCATAGTATTATTTCACACAATGGATGGGAATTGTTATCTGAAGGCAATTCTGAATATAATACAGTAATTTAATCTTAATTCCCTACTGATGTATTGGAGTGCAATAATATTGTTCCATTTACATTTTATCTTCCCTTGTGAGGTTTTTTAACTATTGCCTTGAATGACATTGACCTATAGCCTAGCCCCAGGAGCTTGTTTTACAAGTATCTTCTGTTAATGTCAACTATCTTTTTAACGAGCCCGAGTAAATCTTCTAGGCTGTACAGATCATTATTGGAATTTACACAGATTAGACAATGTTTGATGAAACTTGTCTGATAGTGTACAGTAATGATTAAAATCTGAACAATTAGTGTCTGTTGACTACGAAAACCTAATACTCTATATAATAATATATAATGCCACTCAACCTATGGTATACATTCATACAGAAAAGATAATCCGTATAAAATAACGGACAATCTCGAATGCAGCTGTATACCACAGGGGTGTTGTCAATGATATAAATAATATGTACACATTGTATTTACTACCCAAGAAGGTACAATTTTTGTCCACAGCAATATAAAAACCATGATTTGCTATGAAGTTTTAAAAACATGATCAAAATTAAGTACAGTACAACTGATAGTAAGCTTATTAAAGGGTATTAAAAAGTTCTACTCCCACTAATACTTAGACAAATTTATTTTTATTTTTATTTAATGAGACCCTTGAATATCAGCCAGCCTTTTAGGATATGCTGGAAGAATTGCCCTATAGCTTGATGTAGACACCTTTTTTACAATTTTTTTAATGTTCGTTGGAAAGTTAAATTCTATATTCTTTTTCATTTCTATCGGTAATATATTGATTAGTTACTTCTTTTTCGAAAAAAAAAAATATATATATAATTATCTTGGTACATTTTGGTTGCTCCTCAGCTAACCTTGATCATACTATGACCAATATGTCATTAAATGACAAAAAAAAATTGTTTCCCCAAATTTTGATGAGACAATATTTTAACTGAATTATTTTGATTGGAGGCTAGACCTACTGCCAACAGCTGACTGAGTTCTTAATGACAATCTGGAACCCATCTTGACCTTCTCCAGCATCGAGCTCTGAGAACCCATCATTCTAGCCTCTTTTGATAGAGAAATCGAAGAACCTTGACTATAGCCTAAAGGCTTTGGGTTCCTCAGGGATGTGGTAGAGCCAAAGCTCTCTGAGGATGGCGGCACAGGTTGGTACTTCCGGAAGTCGTTATTGTTAAATAATGCGATACCTTGGTCGGCCATGTTCCATGCATCACGATCACCGGAATTGTTGCGTATATATACTAGAATATCTTGCAGTTTCATATCCTGGGCCTTGATGCTAAAATTAGAATTAAAACGGCGTAAATTGAGAATTTAAAGGATCAAGAGAGAGAGAATACGAGAAAATCAAAGCATCGATTAAAAGAGTGAAAACTTGTCTATCCTGTGAATTGTGTGGTAAATATAAATGCGACATAAAAAAATAATGTATTATTTTGATTGCCACGGTGCAAGATATCCCCGATGAGAAGGCTGTTTTCCCGTAGATAGCATAAGTGGGTAGGGTCGGGTGTGGCAATTACCCTGAAACCTACAACAATTTAGAGATTTGAGAGGTTTATTTAATCAGGTTTTATTCTGTAAAACTACATTTGAATTTTTTTTTAGCCACAATTCGTAGGGGAGATCCAGCTTCCATTGGCTCACCTATTAACTAAATACACAAAAAAAGAACTTACGCGAGGTCTCTATTGTCCAAGGTACAGAGAATCATTTTAGCAACAACTTTCTGCAATATTGGGTCATCGGTCTTCGCAAACTGAAAAAGGGTCTCCTTTACGGATTCGGTATTTAACATCTTCTCGCAAGACTGAAATCAAAAATTAATCTCTGAAAGTTCAGCACCGAAGCATATCATATTGTATATACAACTGGTATTTATAATGAATGTGGAAAGCTGAGGTAGGCTGTTACAAATGTGCTAAGCTTGTGTAAAAAATGTAGGACACTTACAGAGGTGGGGGGCACACCACACATCACCTCAGACCCACCATAGTTGGCCCACAATTGCAAGAATATGGTATCCCTTAACGGCCTAATTGCATGGACAAATTAGTATTTAGACCAACCTATATATATTTTAGTATATTCCACTCTTGTCATATGCATGAGCCTATGCGTTAAAGAAATGCTTGACTTTTTATCTACATTTTACAAATATGGGGAGGACCACAAGACGAAGATGTTTTGATTAACATTCACAATGAAATGCGGGACGCTAATTGGCAGATTTGCTGTTGGATAGGTGGATGGATTTATTCGGTAAACACCAAGGATAACGCACAAAAGCTTAAAGGAGACTTATTTCCAGTGACGTCCTTCTAGTGGTGATTGGGCAGTACACAGAGAGATACCAGTAATCCCCTACGCTATTCTTAGGAGTATACTGCGTTCTTTAACACGCACAACGGCTTAAACGTCCCCTCATCCGATAGATGGTGCGCTATTGTAACTTGCATATTTCAGCCCTCCAGCTGAAATACAAGGTAGCAAATTAGCAATTGAAACTGAACCGGAGACCAAGAGATTTCCATGGTTCTGCGCACACACCAATTTCGCCGACTGAGCTAAGCTATCTTACCGTGCTATCCTCTGCAACATATAACAGTATTTTACCAGCTAACAGATAGATGGAAGCATCAAGCGTATTCTTTGGAATGTTTAACAGGTCAGGCAGTAGATTCTCCTACAGACAAAAAGAAAGCAGCAAACAATGTTAAATTATGTTGACATGAATTATTCCAAATTTGGAATTAAACATTTTAGCCAGGACCATGAGGACCCACAGTGACCATAGTACCACACCAGTACCACATGTCCCTCTCCCACCTAACTCTCACGCAAGGGTTTTTTGAGGGGCTGAGTGATCAACATCGACTCCAATTAAAATCCGACGATAACAGGATTTAAGACTTTAGCATAAAAGGCAGGAACATTACTTGTCAGTCAAATGCTCAGCTGATACTGCGGCTCCACAAAGAGTTATAGCGATTTTAGTTTGTCATTTGGACGAGTTCTGACAACATCTAGCTGCATTTTGGGGTTGTGGTGGTGCCAGGACTAACTCGTGGTAGGCTGACGTTTCCAACACTAGGGGCAAGGTATGTAACATTTATCTACTGTATTGAATTAATTATAATTGAATTAAATGTACTTAACCTTATACAAACACTTTATTTACAAGTTGTTCAGTTTCAGGTTCAGGGAAACCCTCCCCTCCCCATTTTGATTGTCAAATACCACACCAATTACCTGACTTAGAATCACATCAGCGCTTTCAATTGCTATCAGCTCCAAAGTCTGCAGTGCCAGGCGCATCGTCTCATTATCCTTGAAACTGCACATGTGCAGAAGCGCTTTGGCTGATGGATAAAAAAAAGTGAGTCATGAAAAACATTAAACGACACAGAATTATTATATAAAGCTCTCTCTATCAATATGATCAATTTTTATGTGACAAGGGCCTGTGATTTTTCTAAATATGGGGGCGATATGGAAACATCATGCCCATATGTAAGCAAACCATTAACATTTAATTGTCACAGAAAAATTAAGCCTAAACACAGCTTAAGAAAAGATCAGGGATCTTGAGTTGGAAGGACATTTCTGGGAGATCTGGTTATTTTAAGCGCTCTAAACACATTTAACTATATTTTGCAGCGTGTGGTGATACCCATTGGAAGCTGATTTTGGGAATACAATTGATAATACAGCAGTAAAACACACAAAAGGGTCATGAATTTGCGGAAGATTGGTCAGTTTCTGGAAGATTTTTCTTGCTCGCGAGGATGCGAGATAGAGGCTGTCCCATTTTTCAGGCGACTCCTTATGAGTTGCGACCTCCAGAAGCAAACAATATGCTTCTTGATATACCACGTGGTATGATGCTAAATGCATATTACCTTTACATTTGTTTTTAAATTTTATTTCAAAATATGGACCATGTTTTATAAAACCCTTTTCTGTATAAATTACTTACTTGGTGAATTTTGTGAAGCAATTTGAGATCGGATTTCGGAGTTGAATACAAGTTCCAGGTAGATTCCAGCAATGAAGCGTTGCGTCAAGACAGAGCTGTTGTAAGCAGCATGTGCAAGATCCTCAAGACCACGGTCTGCCACGATGGCGTACTTGTTGTCTTCTGAATCCGACACAATATAAGATATCGCTGTAACTGCTTCTTGGATGATTCGTTTGTTTGAGGAATGGAGTAATGTAGTAAGAGTTGATACACCTCCCATTTCTACAAATTGGTCCTGGACAAATACAATAATATATTATATAACAAACATTCCATGCTTGATAAAATCTCAAAATTGTATGACATTTTAACTAACCATATAATCATAAATGTACAACATTAATTTTTTTTTTTTCAAATAATTTCTGCAGTAATATTTAATGTGAAATTTAAGATAATGCCTATTTTTGCTACAATGAAAATTAATTGGTAGTTGACTATAACTTAAAAGATGTGTGATAGATTTCAGAGGATCCACTACAGTCAGTCAGTAGTGAAGCACCGCTCCAGGTAGGGAATTTAGCAGTAAACCAGGACACAATTCAATAGATTTTTTTAGTAGACTGTAATGAATATTTTAATGTATATTTTTGTATTGGCTAAGGGTCTTGTACGAGGTAAACTGAATTAATAGTTCCCTCTGACTATCTTAGCCTAGAGCCTGGTAGCTATGCTACCCTGTCCTAGGAGCTGCTAGTGGATGCACATGCTTCCATTGGGGCTAAGATATACATGCTCTCCAGATATGGGATCCCAATTTAAGACAAAAGATCTACCAGAAGTAGCCAACGGTAACCAATGCATCTAGCTATAAAACTCATTGCTTCAAAACTTGCCAGATGGCAACCCACACACTCGAGGAAGCAGTGCCTTTTAAAAGTGAATGATAATGAAGCAGGGGCCATGTTTTACATCTCTTCCAAAACACTTATTTCTAGTGGAATTCTTCTTGTGGTGAATTAGTTAGAGCACTTAGGGTGACAATCTCCTCCTCTTTTCAGAAGAGTGCATTCCCTAACATTGTTGTACTCAAAACCAACAGACATCGCATCTACGGACAGTGCGTTATTATAAACTTGCATTGCAGCCCTCCAGCTGAAAACAAGTCAATCAACAATGGATATGAACCAGGGATCAAAGGTTTGAAAAGATCTCTATGGTTCAGTGCAGGCAGTGGCTACCAATAGTTTTAGCCTGATTATTACCAAATTTCTGGAAATCATTTGTAATGAAAGAGGAAAAAAAGAGGAAAACAAGGGCATAGATAAGGATCACATACTTGGATGGCAGGGATCGTCAGAAGTTCTGCCACGGCTTCAATGGCATACTCTTGGATGGATTCATCAGTGGATAGGCACAGTGAGATGAGAACATCAAGCCTGTAAAAGAAGCAGTGAATAGGATTTTTACTATCAACATTCAGTAATCATGAGGTTTGCCATCCCAAAATTAGTATACAGTCGCTAAATGGTACACTGAGTTTAATTAACAGAAGAATGCGGCAGTTGTATAGCTTAGTACATCAAAAACTTACTCATAACTTTGGCAATAGTAAATCGATTCCAGTGAATGACCTATCTTTTTAAAGCTTATAATGTGAAGAAATTATATATAAAAAAAGGGTCAATTTTCTTGTTTTGGGCATGGATGCTGGTTTTGGCATGGCAACCCCATTAACGGTTTCTAATTTCCACAATTAACCGGGGGCCACAAATACGGATACGTATCAAATAAACAGGAGGCAGATTATCACTTGTACCAAGAGAAAAAATTGCTCATTGTAAAACAATTTCTTGTTTTCACTGTTTCCAACATCAGCCAACACACGTTTTTATCATGATCATCACAATCTACTGACTTGGAATAATTTGAATTTTCATATTTTTGTAAATTTTGTTATGTTTGGTAGATTATTCCAAATCTTTTATGAACCATTCTGTAAATTATAGATTATTTTTAATGGCTACCCATGTGTAATCTAAAAGGGAGGCTGCTGGTCTTGCATTTTTTTTTATAATGTTTGCGAATCCAAGTCATACATTTCATTTAAACGAGGCTTCTAATTCTTAACAACTGGGATACAGGCTACACAAATTCCAACTTACCCGCCTTCAGAAACAATTTTAAATTTGCTGTCATCGCCTGTGGTTGCTAAGGTAGCAAGTTCAAATGCTGCATTTCTTTGCTCCTTCAGTCTAAAAAAACATAATAAAATCAATCAATCAATCAATCTATCAATCAGTTATCATTCTATTGGTACACTTCAACTCTTAAAAAAAATTCTAAATTCCTTTATTGTCAATATGATAACACAAGGTATTGAAATTCTTTTTCATCAGTGAAAAAAACACAACATAAAAAATAACAAATATAAAACAAGAAACAAAAATAAATCAAATATTTAAAATAAAAGAAATGTTTATATACACATGGGTTGGCAGGTATAAATAATACTTACACTAAAAAATATTAGCAGATTAAACTTTTGTAAATTCAGACTTGATGGAAAAAAATCCTCACATAATAAAGACAAACAAAACAAATAATACAACAATAATTTCTTCTTTGTACTAAAGTCAAACTCCAATGAGCATTAAAACAGAAAGCAGATCTTGTTGAAGCCTGTGAATAATGCATAAACATAAAAGCATACCTCACTATACCCAACATGTCAACATCTCATGCTGATATGATAACAGGAAATACAAATTTCATGATAACTATTCCTTAATACTGGTACAGTACATTTCAACTCAATGTATGGGCATGGACAGTACGGTGATTAAGTAGTTTTAACAGGCTTCTCGGATTTTGTTATGTTTGCTTTACCTTATCTCATCATGATTTTGAATATACAGAAGGTCTACAGTGCTAATTCATTTCTCTATGTTCTTCCAAACTGAATAAATTCAGTTTTCTTATTGTGGTTTTTGATTTTTTTAGGTGAGGTCTCGAATCATCATGTTTTGGATTCATTTATTGTTTGCAATCATCCACTTACAGCATGCAACATGTGCTGAAATACGCATGACAGATCCAGTGGTATATGGTGAGGTAAAGGATGTAGCAGAACTTGTCTGTTCGGCAAATCTGACTGCTGAGGAAATCAACATACCCCACTGGTTCACATGGACAAGGAATGGCATTAAGGTAGTTGATAACGACACAGTAATTCACAGAAACGACACATATTTGAATGGATTGTCTCGATATAGAATAGCTGGCCTTTCATCAATTTCACAAACTAAAATATCTCAAGCACTGAGTATCTTATATTTGGATGAATCTGACCATGGTATATATAACTGCATTTTGAACTTCAAAACACCAAATTTGAACTTTATAGCAGAGGCTGTGTTGCTGATTAAAGATTTTCTTCCTAGACCGCAGTGCTCGTACAACATAGCAAAGGCAATACCACTTACAGTCAAACTTGCTTGTGTCTCTCCACCTGGGGACCAACCAATAACATTGGAGTGGTTTGATGATGAGGATAAAGTCCTCTTGAACTCAATTATACAGAATGATGTCAATGGAATACAGCTTAATTATCAGTTGGAAATTACCGGTAATGATACAGACTTGAACTTCACGTGTCAGGCTAGTAGCAGCATAAAAATAAAGGAATGCCATCTTGCTATTTCATTTACCGAATGAAGGTTTTTCAGTTAGTCCTCCAGTTCAATCAACTCTTGCACCAGAGCAGTACACTGGTGCAGAAGGAAAGCCTGATAAGGTGTACATCATTACATTTGCAACAGGGTTCAGTGTGTTACTCTGCCTTATAATCGTAATGGCAGTGTATATTTTATATACAAGAAAAATTGATGGGATGGGTACATCAGGTAACAATGAGAGGACATTTAACCCCTTAACGGATGGTGGAAGTAGACTTGCCGAACAGCCATTACCTCAGCAAAACAAAAACATATATGTTGAATCACAAAATGTTGAAAAGGATAGAGGAATCACCATAGCAATAAAAGGTCATATGTTAAAAAGTATTGATTGTGAGAAGGATGAAATGATTATTTCATTCATGAAGGAAGAAGTTGATAATGACACTGAGAAGAGTATTGGAGCTGAAGAGAAAGCAATAGGGAATGATTATATTACTTTTGAAAATTCTCTGTATGGATTAAATGTCTGAAAATGAAAAGCCAAGAATAGAATATTATAAGTAAATATTGCAAACAAGTTAAATTTTCCAAAAAATGTATCAGATATTTAAGTAGAGACAACTGTAGATTGAAAATGTATTTAAAAAAAAGTAGAACAATGAAAGCAAACTTTATCATACAAAAACAAATTCTAAGAATTAAAACTCTAACAAAATGTCTGTGTACCACTTGTAGTTCTTTTCAGAACTTTCTGCTTAGCCCCACCTTAGTAATGTTGTTAATGTCCCAAAAAATGACTGTGCAACCATTATATCCCTGGCACTGTTTTGATTGTCAGTTAAGTTTGATTAAGACAGACAAGGTCCATTGTCACAACATAGAGGGTGCTATTTAGGTGATTATAGCAAAGAGGGCACTTATCTAGCCCTTTCCAGACTATCACAGCGATATGCCTAAATATGGTAATGATGACATCACATCATGACCAATAAGCACATCATGGTCGCATGGGCATACAACCATTTGTCAAAGAAAATCTGATAATGTGGTATTAAGAGCTTTAATTTTAAGATATTCTAATGATCTTTATTCTTTGATTATGACTTTAATTTGTTTATTGAAATGTTAAATTTTGTAGTTTGTATTGACTATGAACAATTGATTTTGTAGATTTATACTGAATTGTAGATTAATTGCAAATTCTATATTTCTTTAATTGTTTCCTGATTTTTTATAATTGTAATTAATTAATTGCAATACAAAAAACTTTTAGTGTCTGTTGCTATTTGTATTGTTTGTATTACAGCAAAACTAAAATAAGAAGATTTTTTAATAGATCAATTACTGAACTATTGTATAGTTTGCTTGAGAAGAAATATCAATCTACACAAGATAAAAAGCAAGCAAAACAAATAATACAGCAATAATTTCTTCTTTGTACTGAATTCACACGAGCAGATCTCATCAAAGCCTGTGAATAATGCACAAACACAAAGGTATACCTCACTATATCAAGCAGTGTCAACAATCCATGTTGATATTATAACAGGAAATAAGAATTTCAAGATATATATTAAATCTTTAATATTGGGTACTGTACATTCAACTCAATACATGGGCATGTACAGTGTATAATTGTTTTAAAAGACTTTTTGGTTTTGTATTGCTTTGCATTTTATCTCTTGATTTATTAAAGTGTATTATTCCTCCGACGTTTTTCATCCAAACTAAATGATTTCAGTTTTCGCATTGAGGCTTGATTTTTTGAGGTGAGGTTACATCTGGTGTCATCATGTTTTGGATTCATTTATTGGTTGCAATCATTTACTCACAGCTTGCAACATCTGCTGAAATACGAATCAACCCGCCAGTGACATATACAGTTCCAGAAAACATTGGCAAACAGGTAGTTGAATTTGTCTGTTCAGCAAATCTGACTGCTAATGAAGTAAGCATACCACACTGGATCACTTGGACAAGGAATGGCATTAAAGTAGCTCATAATGACACAATAATTCTTAGAAATGACACATATTTGGTTGGCATGCCTAGATATGGAATAGCTGGCCTTTCATCAGTTTTTCAAACTAAAATATCTCAAACACTGAGTATCTTAAATTTCGACATAACTGACCATGGTATATATAACTGCATTTTGAACTTCAAACCACCAAATATGAACATTACAGCAGAAGCACTGTTGCTGATTAAAGATTTTCTTCCAGAGCTGGAGTGTACATACAACATAGCAAAATCTGTGACCAGTATGTCACTTATAGTCAATATTTCTTGTATCTCTCAACCTGGAGACCCACCAATAACATTGGAGTGGTTTGATCAGAATGGAGCTCCCTTAGAATCAATTACTCAGACAAATGTTGATGAAATACAGCTTCATCATCAGTTTGAAATTTCTGGTAGTGATACTGACATGGACTTTGTGTACTATACGTGTCAAGCTAAAAACAGTATGAATATGAAGGAGTGCCATCTTGCTATTTCATTACCGAAAGAAACTTTTTCAGTTTGGCCTCCAGTTCAATCAACACTAGCTCCAGTTCCATCAACACTTTCTCTAGTTCCATCAACACTTTCTCCAGTTCAATCAACACTTTCTCCAGTTCAATCAACTCTTGCACCACACCAGTGCACTGAACCAAGAAGAGAAGGAAAACCCGATAAGCTCTACATCATTACATTTGCAACAGGATTCAGTGTGTTACTCTGCCTTGTAATGGCAATGGTAGTGTATATTTTTTATAAAAATAAAATTGATAGGATGGGCACGTCAGGTGACTATGAGAGGACATCTAATGCTTTTCTGGGTAATGGAAGTAGTCTTGCTGAACAGCCACTACCTCTGCAAAGCAACAACTTAGATGTTCAACAACAAAATGGTGAAAAGGATTTAAGGGATACTACAGCAACAAAAGGCCATATGTTGAAGAGTATTGATAGTGAGAAGGATGAAATGATTACTTCATTTGGGAAGGAAGAAGTTAGTAGTAACACTGAGAAAATTATTGGAGCTCAAAAGCAAGCAAAAGGGAAAGATTATATTACTGTTGAAAATTCATTGTATGGATTGAACGTCTGAAAATGAAAAGCTGAGAATAGACTATTGAAAGTAAATATTTCAAACAAGTAATTGGCCGAGCGGTTAAGTCAGGGGCACCGTAACCTTCAGCTCTAATATCGGCGTTGGTTCGAATGGCTCACTCGCCAATGGTTCCGGTGTTGGAACAAGTCTTCTCGGATAAGGACTTTAAACCGTAGGCCCAGTGTACGCATTTGGCTCGTGTGCACTTTAAAGAACCCGGTACATCATTCGAGAAGAGTAGGGGGTTACCCCGGTGTACTGGTCCATTAAGTCCCCTGTTGTTAAATGGATATGCCACGTAGGACAGTGATTAAGTTCACTTATTGGCATATCTTTGGCCCTCGTGCCTAAAGAAATGAAATGAAATGAAACAGTATCATAGAAAATAAGCTTTACGTACAAAAACAAATTCTAAGTAAAACACTAATAAAATGTGTGTGTACCGCATGTAAAATATTTTAGATTTTTGAGAAAA